ACTAGTCCTGCCTGACCAGGAGGTGGTCACTTCAGTCTTCATGTCGCCCCTGTTAGGAGTCTCAGCTAAAGTCATGCCCATATCCTCTCAGGAGCCTACCTTGTCATAGGCCTCCAGTTTGACAAAAAGATGCCCCCCCATCAGTTTCTTGTTCTCAGCCCTCTCACCTCCCACCCCTGTTCTTCCCACATCTGATCCTCACCCTTGTTTCCCTCCCAATTCCATCTCCTTCCCATTTCCCTCTCTTCATCCACTTCTGCTGTCTATTCTATTTCCCCTTCTGAGTGACATTCTGGCACCCTCTCTTGGGCCCTCCTTGTTACTCAGCTTCTTTGGGTCTATGGATTGTTTTATGGCTGTTTTGTAGTATAGGTCCAATATCCACTCACAAGTGAGTACATACCATGTGCGTCTTTCTGGGTCTGGGTTACCTCACTTAGAATTATCTTTTCTAGTTCCATCCATTTGGTTGCAAATTTAGTGATTTCTTTTTTTTTTTTTTTTGATAGCTGAGTAGTATTCCATTGGATAAATGTACCATGATTTCTGTATCCATTCTTGGGTTGAGGAGCATCTAGGTTGTTTCCAGATTCAGGCTATTACAAATAAAGCTGTTATGAACACAGTTGAGTAAATGTCCTTGTTGTATGGTTGAGCATCTTTTGGGTATATGCCCAGGAGTGGTATAGCTGGGTCTTGAGGTAGAACTATTCCCAAATTTCTGAGAAAGTACCAGATTGATTTCCAGACAGGTTGTACAAGTTTGCACTCCCAGCAGCAATGGAAGAGTGTTTCCCTTTCTCTACAACCTCACCAGCATGTGTTGTCACTTGAATTTTTGACCAATGGAACCAAATTGAAGATCCAGAAATAAACTCATACTCCTACAGATACTTGATTTTCTACAAAGAAACCAAAACCATATAATGGCAAAAAGACAGCATCTTCAAAAAAATAGTGCTAGTCTAACTGTATGTCTACATGTAGAAAAATGCAAATAGATCCATATTTATCACCCTGCACAAAACTAAAGTCCAAGTGGATCAAAGACCTCAACATAAAACCAGATACACTAAATCTGTTAGAAGAAAAAGTGAGGAAGAATCTTAAACTCGATGGCATAGGAGACAACTCTTCCTGAACAGAACACCAACAGCACAGGCTCTAAGATCACCAATTAATAAATGGGATCTCATGAAACTGGAAGTCTTCTGTAAGTCAAAGGACACTGTCAATAGACCAAAACTGCAGTCTACAAACTGGGAAAAGATCTTCACCAACCCTACATTAAGCAGAGGGCTAATATACAAAATATACAAAGAACTTAAGTAAACATCAACAAAGCAAACAATCCAATTAAATAATGAGGTAAAGAGCTAAACTGAGAATTCACAACAGGAGCATCAAATGGCAGAGAAGCACTTAAAGAACTGCTCAATGTCCTTAGCCATCAGAGAAATGCAAATCAAAACAACTCTAAGGTTCTGTCTTACACCAGTCAGAATGGCTAAGGTCAAAAATTCAAGTGTGTATGTTTTTGGTTTTTTTTTTTTCCTTTTCTCTTTTCTCTCTCACCCGCAAGAAATCAGTAAACCCTGAGCTTTTATGGCCTGGTCCCTAAGATAAACAGTCCAGGGTTCTTCTTTGGCTTTTGTAATTAGTTCCTAGCTCTCAGCAAGCAGCTGCTTGAGTCAGCTTCTAAGTTAAAAAGGTGCTGAAGTGTTGTTGTTGTTTTTCAACCTCTTGTTGCTTCCAGCAAGGGGTTGAGTCCTTGGGAACACACAGCTCTAGACAGTCTAGAATTTTCCAGCCCAGCTACAGGGCACTACTGGTCCTGAGCCACCAGACTCAGAGGCCCCTTACTTTCTCCCCAGTTCTCTTCATAATTTCTTACAACCAGCTTTTAGCCCCAGTATTCCAAGAACAAAAGCCTCTGGATCCTCTTTCTCACCTGTTTTGCTGTCCCGCCTTGGTTTTACCCTGTTTGCCAGAGCTCAACTCTGACATTTTATCACTGATGCTGTAGTTAATCTACATGAATAATGAAGAAACAGCTGTGAGTCAAAGCCTAGTTCTGAAGCCCAGATGCTCTCCTCCTCAGCCTTTGAGGTGTCTCTTGAGCTGCAGCCTTAGATTTCATAAATTTAAGCTCATAAATTGTTGTGGATGGAATGATGATTACAGATCCCTTAGTTCAACTGAGGAACACTTTTTGAGTCATTGAAAAATAAACCTTCAATTAGGCTCTGAGAATAATGAGCTATATGTACACGAACTCTTTTCTGTGAGTCCTACTAACAATAGAGAGAGTCCTACTAACAATAGAGAAAGTCCTACTAACAATAGTGGTTGAACCAGGCCAGTCAATAAAGCTCATTTATCTATTTTTTTCCCCAGAATGAATTCTATAAATATTTCAAAAATGCATCTGAACATATTTGATACCCTCAGAAGAAAAACACTCATGTCTCACAGACTCTGACTGCTACTTTTTCTCCTTCATCACCTGTCTCCTCACCTGCCACCCATTCCACATTCTCTGTTATTATGATATATGCTCAGGGCTTATGACAGAACTTAGTTGGGAGCTCTCCTGGGTGTCTTGCTTGCCAATTCTTTGAGAAACTGTGGCCTGGTCACAAATGTATAATTCTTGTACTTGGAGTCTGAAGTAGAAAGCAAGGATTTCAAGGCTAACCAAGACAACACAGCTATACCCATTTTATAAAAAGGCCTTTTATTGATTGTGAGTTTCACATCATGCACCATAGTTCCACCCATTGCCTGGTCTCCTTGTATCATCCCTTCCCTTTACAAACTACTTCTCCCCCAAATAAAAGACACAAAAACAAACAAAAACTTAAATAAGAAAACAACACATAGAAAGTGTTTTGTCATGGAAGCTGTAGTGTGTCACAGTGTATCTCACAGTGTATCCCTCTGTCCACACATCTTCATTTGCAAATGTGCAGATGTTTATTGTAATGAGACATTGGTTTGGTTTGAGATCTCTTATTTCTGTGACACCATCAATATTGAATCCTCATCAGGACTCCTCCCAGTTATCCTATTGCTGCCCTTTGTCTTGCAGCTTTGGATCAGCAGGACTGACTCTTTTACATGCCTGACAGATGATGTAGATATTGGGATGGGCCAACTCAAATCCTTGGATCTGGACCTGGGTGGTAGCTGAGCTGGTTAGCCTGCTGGCTCTCCCTTATCTGCATCACCAAATGTGACATTTTTAGCACTGTTCTAGCTAGGCTATCCAGTGCTGCCATGGGCAGGAGGCAGGGTCAGCTATTCTGCTCTCATGTCCTTGGAGCTCACCTGTACTCATACATCCAGAGACATCTCCACTGTTGCTACCTAGTCAAGGCCTGAGGCCCACTCTCCCAAGTGCTGCAGCCAGTGAAGGGCTGGGCCTGTTTGTCCATTCTCACAGTCTTGGGGCTGGCTCACTTGGGCACTCTCCACCAGGGTTAGCTCTACTGTGCAGTGAATATATCTGGTCCTAAATTTTTCTTTGTAAGTATACTTTTAGTTGTGACTTCTATCTCCTTGCTTGTTATGATCCTGTTTAAGTTGTTCATATCTCTTGACTCTAATTTTGGTAAATTGTATGCATTTAGAAAATGGATCATTTCTTCTATATTTTTGAATTTATTGGAATATAGAAGATGACAATGCAGCCATTCCTGATGTGATCTGATAGAGTAAGATCAGAAGGAAGGAGAGGAGGACCTCCCCTATCAGTGGACTTGGGGAGGAGCATGTGTGAAGAAGGAGGAGGAAGGGTGGGAGCGGGAGGGGAGGAGGGAGGGGATTATGGGGAATACAAAGTGAATAAACTGTAATTATTAAAAAAAATATAAAAAAGTTTTCGAAGTTGTAAAGTATTCCCTGAAGATAGGGAAGAGGTTCCTGTGGATTGTGTATGGAGATGGTGATTGTCATCGCTCCTACATTTCCTGGCCTGAACTCATTCATGTGGACACATACTAATGTTCTCTCTATGTGTCCATGTAGAAGAGAAAAATGAATAGATAAACCACAATTCCTTTAAGCTTTTAATGTCATTGGTGTCATGATCTCACACTATTTGGGTCTTCCTTCATTTATATCATCTTCAGCAAAAAAATTAGAAAAGAATCCTTTTATGACAATACAACTACAAGGAGATTGGCATGGGATTGCCTTATTTGATAAAAAATGGTTTCATTCAGATTCTCCTTGCATTTTATGAGATACAATGTTTTTCCAAACTGTACATGTGTCAGAAGTGGAGCCCAAGAATGAGAGTTTATCTAGGTAAACATTCCAATCTTTGTTCAACTTCAGGTGCCCTCAGTTCCTAGTGGAGAGTCTCTTGACATCATACAGGAAAAGGAGGAGAAAGTCTGTTTCAATGGCCCAGCATTCATTCGTTGGTTATAAACATCTTTAGAGAACATGTGGGGTGTAAACATTTTTAGAAAAGGAAGTGTAGTTGGGAGGGAGATGTGTCAGAGGAGGAAGTTTAGGGGGAGAATATAGAAAATAGAGGTGCTAGCAGGTGTGCCTCCCAGCCTCACAACCTATCAACCGCAGGATCTCAGAAAGGCTAGATGTAATGAATAGAGAGGTATTGGGAACAGAGCAGCCAGACTACTTCTTCATGGGGCAGACCCACGATGGGTGAGGAAGGTGCGTTCCATTTTTCACTTCCATACCCAGGTATTCTCTAATAGATGTTTATGTGTGTATGTGTGCGTATGTGTGTGTGTGTGTGTGTGTGCGCGCATGTCCGTATGTGTGTAAAACTCCAAGCATGAGACAGCAGACCCATCTTAACTTTTGCTTTTATAAAATAATGCAACAGAGAATTGTTGATTTAATGCAGTTGATTTAATAAAGTGGAAAGAAATACAGGTGAGGTTTCAACAACTGTCTTGCACTTTATAGTTAGGAGAAAAAAATCAAAAAAGAAAAGTTATGATTTGTGGTATCAGCTGCTGGAGTGTTGCCATTCTTCTGGAGGCCTGTGAGCCAAAGTTCTTGTGAGGGTTTACTCATCCTTGTCACAGTATTCACTGTCAAGTATAGCGTTCTGGAGAACAAGGACATATGTTAAATGTGTAGTTCTGCCTTAAAAGTCACATGCTGAAAATCAATTTTTCTTGATAGTATTTTTGTTTATTTTTCATTGAGTAGTTTTTAGGATGTATACTAATTAGTAAGTTTGTGTGTGGTGTGCATGTATGCCTATACATGTGTGGAAGTCAGACAACAACTGTTGGAAGTCAGTTATCTTCTTCTGCCTTTCTATGAGTAATGACTTTACAGTTTACAAAAGAAAACAACTTGGAAGTTACCATCATTACTATAACATTGGCCAGAGTCTCTTCAGACTAGTCTAGAAAACGCTGTTTGAGTTCACTCATAGCTTTTTTTCCCAGGGATTGAACTCAGATCTTACCTGTTGTGTGGCAAGTGCTTTTACCCACTGAATTATTTCACCAGCCTGTTCATTTTTCAACCAACAATTAAGAATCCAGGCAGCCCTGGAACACTCATGGGTTCTGTCACTCAAGAGATAATGACTGCTAAGAAAGCACCGTTGCTTCTGAATTTTTATTCAAAAGCCCTCCTTGATGATTTTTCTCTTAAAGCTCACTTGTTTTTCCATAATGAGAATACAGTTGACATGTGAATGTCCTTGCATGGGGGAAATTTCACAAGACCCCACCCCTTGTTGAAGAAGATAGCAATGAGTGGCTACCAAGAAGACAACAACAGTTTTTCAATCCCAAGTTGTCAGGGCTAAACACAGATATAGAAGAACAGCACTAAACAGACTTAGTAGGTTGTATGTACATACACAGACTCTCTCTTTATATGTACATGTAATACGTATAAAGAAGAAGAGGGCATGAATTTGAAAGACTTGAGGGTACATGGGAGCACTGGAATGGGAGAGGAAGGCATGGAAATAATGTAAATACACTAATCATGTATAAAATTACTTGAAATTAAATTGAACCACTTAAATTACATCTTGACAGTGTGTGCACCATTTTTACCTTGATTCCTTTAGTTACAAACTTGAGTCTGTTTTCTTTCCTGCTCAGTGATTTTACAATTTACAAAAGAAAACAAATTGAAACTTACTATCATTACTTCAACATCTGCTAGAGTTTCCTTCGACTGATCCTGAAAACATCCTTTGAATCTTCTCACAGCAAGTTCCATGAGAGGATCACCAAGTAAGTATGGTTTAAGCAGTTTCACATAATAATTCTCAGTCACTTCTTTGTCAATCGTTGACTTAATAATGATGTCTAGCTTTTTACAACCAGAACCTGGAAGATATGACATTCATCACTGAAGGTTTGAACTCATTAGGGCTTACCTATCACAATGATCATGCCCTTTGAGAATGAGCGGAGACACAGATTAGCAAAGGTGATGGAGCACTGCCAAATCTGGGACAGAAGATGTAGGCAGAGAGATACCACTTAGAAACGGAAAATTCTGCCCCTAACATCCCATCACAAGAAGGTTTCACTGACAAGGACACTAAAGAGATGGCAGGCTGTATTGCTGGGCATGGTAATAATTTTGGGCTTTTGTTTGCTCAAAGTCCTGCCACATTTTATTACAATATTCCATGAACATCATAGAATATGTTCAAACATCCTGTAAATATCACAGCTAGACTATTATCTATTTTGCTCTGTTAACTCTTGCATCTATATCACAAAGCAACTTAAACAGAAGCTCTACTAACCGAAGTGACCTCATGTAGCTAGACTGTGGGGGAGAAGGAGCTCAAGACTTTGATTCACTTGAACTAGTTCTTGTCATGAGTCTTCAGTCCATTGAGTCCCTCACCTTTTTCCAACCTGTACCAGTGTTTTCAAGTGAAGTAGGCAACAAAAACAATATAATCTCTACAAACCAAACTGCATGAGGGGCATTTAGCGTGAACACATCCTTTTCTTTCTTTCTTTCTTTCTTTCTTTCTTTCTTTCTTTCTTTCTTTCTTTCTTTCTTTCTTTCTTTCTTTCTTTCTTTCTTTCCTTTTTTCAAGATAGCGTTTCTTTGTGTAATCTTGGCTGTCCTGGAACATGTTCGGTAGACCAGGCTAGCCTTGAACTCAGAGAGCCACCTGCTTCTGCCTCCTGAGTTCTGGGATTAAAGGCCTGCACACCACTGCCCAGCTGACCACATTCATTTTTAAATTTGTAATTTTTTAAGATTATAATTACATCATCTTCCCTTTCCCTTTCCTCCCTTCAAATCCTTCCTGGAAGACACAGAAAGAATGTGTGGTCCAAAAGCATTCTTCCCTTCCACAGCACTTACTAGAGGCATAACAGCAAATGGGGATGGTGGCCAACAGAAAGATCACCACCAGCTTCATGATGAGGCAGCCGTTGTGGGTTGGTCTGTTGTCCAAGATAGAAGTCAGGAAACTCTCTGGAGTTGGAACCTCAGAGCTCCTCTATTTATTGCTCAGGCAATAGTCTCATCCAGGAAATAAGACCGCAGGTCATGTGTTCAATGTGGCACTGCACCAGGAAACAGAAGAGGATGAAGGTGAGCCAAGGAAGACTATGGCTTCATTAAATAAAACAAGGAAACAGATTTTTTTTTTTTGAGACTCAGAGAATCACTCTAATGACAAGTGGCAATAGGCAAAGTTTTGAGAAATGTTTCTAAAATTCAGTGAACATTACAGCACGGTAGGTTGGTTTTATCATCTGGTGTTCTGATTTTTAAGGTGGTTTCTTCCTCTGTTTGCTTCTCTTTCTCCTCTCTCTTCATTTTAAAAATCTCCTTCTTTGGGGCTGGAGAGATGGCTCAGTGTTTAAGAGCACTGTTTGCTCTTCCAAAGGACCTAGGTTCAATTCCCAGCACCCACATGGCAGCTCACAACTGTCTGCAACTCCAATTCAAGGGATCTGACACCCTCACACTAATGCACATAAAATAAAATAAATTATTAAAAAAATCTCCTTCTTTGCCTTATTCATATCATCCCTCCTTTTCTTCCTATTTATTTTTCTCTTCTCCCTCCTGCACCCTCTATCCTTGTTTTCTCTCTGTTTTCCTTACAGACCTCAAGCTACTTTATTCTCTTTCTGTTCTTGTCTGCTGATTTAAGTGGTTGGGGTGAGCGCATTATAACACACTCACTCTGCAAGGCAAACTTTCCTTCTGTCATTCTTTTTTGTTAATTCCTTCTAGTTTGAGAGGAAGCTTACCAATTTTCATTCTTTACTGAAAGGTCTGGGATTTAAAATATGGCCAGGTCCTATCCTTAGGAGAGTTATATTTTTCTCTCTCATGTTTCTTTCAGGCATTGGTAAAGCGAGGTTTGAGTGACACCATGATGAGATTTTATCAGGATAACAGATAATGTGTGTAAAAATAATCTGTCATGTTTCATAACATAACCATTACTAAGTGGGTTTCTGGGGCTAGAGCGATGACTCAGCGGTAAAGAACACTGCTCTTAAAAAGAAACTGAGTTCATTTCCCTGCACCCATATGGTAGCTCACACTAACTCTAATTCCAAGAGATCTGAGGCTGTTTTTGACCTCTCTGTGTTGTGTGCACATGTGGTGCGCATACATCCAGGCCATCAGACACACTTATACACATAAAATAACATGAGTAAATATTTGAAAAGGAAGTGGGAGTTCCTGGAATAGCCATCATGGAAATGGGTGTGAAGATTCCTCAAGACTTGAGAAGCTCATGATTCACACCTGTCTTTGGGGTATACAGCTGATGGAATCTGAGTAAGACTACTGCAGAGACATTTGCATATTTGTGTTTGTTGCATTATTCACAATAGCCACGTTACAAAGCCACCTTAGATGACTATATCAACAGATGACTGTACAAATAAGATGGTGTGTGTGTGTGTGTGTGTGTGATAGGGTTTTAATGGGCTGTATAGAAGACTGAAAATATATCATTTATATGGAAATGAATGGAACAAAAGAACATCACATTAGGTGAAAACTATATATTCAGAAAGACTATTATCACATTTACTATCAAATGTACAATGTACATTTTTATGGGAGTCATATATGTATATAAGCATATAAACATAGATTGAGATAGAGTTATAATGAGAAATCAGAAGAGAAAAACTTTGGGGGGAGGACATGGAGCGGAAGGGAAAAAGAAAAAGGATGTGGTAGGGTATGTTAAGAAAATAGGACCAATGTACCTTGATATATATATAGCACACCAGAAAAACCTATTATTTGTACATCACCCCCAAATAGTTTTTACTTTTAGTTTGGTGGGGTTTTTTTTGTATTGTTTTAAGAGACAGGGTCTCTATATGTAGTTCTGACCCGGCCTGGAACTTTCTATGTAGACCAGCCACACAATAATCAAACCACTAAATACACGGCACAAAGAAAGAATATTAAAAGGTATAAGGGAGAAAGGACAAGTAACATATAAAAGGAAACCTATTATAGTGTGATCATGACACCAAAGACAGCAAAACAGGCCCACGACAAGCAGGGAGACTGAATTAACAATTGAAAGTCTGCCCACAGCCTTCCCAGATTGCAGAGCCTTCTAACATACGATGTGTTTCCTGTCTGCTATGATCCTAACTGCTGGTCCTTGTCACCTCCATCCAGAGCCCCTGCACCTGAAAGATTGGGAACTGAGGAGTTTTTTCTGTTGACATTTGAAGTCCAGGAGACTCTTGTCAGGCAGCAGAAAAAAAAAAAAACAAAAAAACAAAAAAACAAAAAAACAAAAAAACAAAACTGCACAAAAGAACTGCTCTTTCTGGATGAAGCAGTTGCCTCTTCCCTATTCCTGACTCTGACGGTTCTAAGTGCAGAGGCAACTGCTTCATCCAGAAAGACAAGACCTACAGCTACTTGAACAAACTGCCTGTGAAGAATGAATACCGCTCTATGAAGCTGGTGGTGGAATGGAAACTTGAAGATGACAGAACACCAAACCCAGTAGAGATCAAAGCCTAAGCTCTTTGGCGCCCTGTGTTTGTATGGGGTGGAAGAGAGACCAGACCTGAAACTGAATTGGTGCCTTAAGACGAACAGAATTTCAAGACTACTCTTTTATGCCTCTCAACCTCCGTAAGAGTATCTGTGACCTTACTGCTCTTAAGAGTTCAGAGCCATTTCCCCTTTGTTGAGGCTGCAGAAGAAGAGAGAGATAGGAGGGAAGAGGGAGACTGGAGAGATTAGATGACTCCTGTTTGCTGTTGGAATAATGTTGGCAGGCCCCACCTGACAGGATGGGGATGAGGTTGTTTAGGAATGTCAGATCATTTACCCAGGGCTCTCAAACCACTGTGAAGGGTGGATTCTAGGAGACATCCCTCTAGCTGGTGTATTACTTGTCTCCTAAGTGCCTCCTGAGTCCCTTGCACCTGGCTAATCAGTCTGCCAAGTCTCAATAGGTACCCTCAGCCCTGACACTTCAACGGTAGTGACTAAGTCTCCACTATAACCAGAGACAGGCGGAGGGGTGTTCTGCCACAGATTAGCTCTGAGTGGCTGCTTCTTTATGGTTAAGCTCTTGTTTCTTGTTCTCCAGTGGTTTTCATTAACGACAATACTTGGTTGAAAAAAAAAAAAAGTCTGCCTATAAAGAAAAATCTAAGGCCAGACATATTCACTGTTGAATTCTACCTGACTTCTTAGGATGATCTTATACCAATACTACTCAAACCTCAACAGTCTTGCCAAGCTGTGAGGCCTCTGAACTACAAGACCAACCCATCAGTTAGGCAACATTCACCCAGGGATGCAACAGTGGCTGTTACGATAGCAACTAATTACTTTTTGGATGTGATTTAAGGCTTGCCCCATAGGATGGAATTCATATTTAGTACTATAAATACACTCAAAACCCCATCCACAGCTGAGGAGATATTTTTGTCTTAGGGAGGAACTTGCTTAGCTGCATTTACGTAATACCAAACTGCCTTTTAAATACGTATGTTTGTATACGCAGAAAAATGCTATGCTTATACTTAATCAAAGAAGCTTCTCTTTGCAAGGAACTGTGGTGAGCACAGGCTGAGAATAAGTGATATTTGACTGCTCAGCCCTAAAAAAGTAATTTATACATACCTCTCTAAGACTCAGCGAACAGCTTAGATTAGGAGGTAAGCTCTTAGATAAGAGCTGGATGATGGGAGGAGGGTTATAAGATGCTACGTTATGAACATGATGCAGCTACTGCAATCACAATCTTAAAGTGGCTGCAATTGCCTGAGCTGGCCCTGCATGAAACTGGGCCTGCCGCCAGTCAGGGAAGACTCACTGAGCCGTACCCGACCCTGATGAACTGTTGGCTACCGAAAGATTCTGGAGGAGGGGCAGCCATTGTCTTCAGTTGATTTTGAGAAAGCGGTGATTAATTTTGCTTGACTTATGTCTGGTTTTCATTTTAGTCACATTCGCTGGTTTTAACCGTCAGGATTTACTGCCAGGTGCTCTGTTTTTCCTCTAGTTGGATTTGTGCACTTATTCCTTACCTTCATGTTATAAAGCAGACAATATCATCATATGTTTCCTTTGCAGAAGTGAAAACTGAGGCCAAGTTAGTTGCAGAAAATCCCATTGTAGAACCTGTCAGACTTCTCTCTTGACTCCTCAGTCAATTCCTCTTTACTCCTCAATCGATGACTATATTCTGCTTTTGAATGTTCAGACAACACTTCAGAATTCAAAACCAGGCATCCAACTTCCCCAATAAAGTAATAAGAGTCAGGGGAACACAGCAAGCGAAGGAGGGCTTGCCTATTATATCTGAGGCTGTAGGTTCAGTCTCCAGCACTGAAAACAAAACAATAGCAAAAAGCCTACAGCCTACAGAGCCAGGCACAGTGACTGCATCTATGAACCAGCACACAGGAGGCAGAGGCACAAAGATCATCAGCTCAAGGTTAGCCTGTGCTAACCTTGGAAATTCCCTGTGCTAACCAGGGAAAATGAAGGGCTGGAGCTGTAACTTGGTCATAGAATTCTTGCCTTGTATGCATATTTCCCTTTGTCTAAAAGAAAGAGGATAGTGAAGTTTAGGATATTTTCATATTTGTTTCAATATGGATGCTGCATTGAATCAGTAGCTCACTCTGGCAATACAAACTTCCAGCATATTGACTCCCCTGGTCCAAAAGCATGAGTCAGCTTTCCATTTTCAAGTGTCTTCTTCAATTTCTTTTTGTTTTTGTTTTTTGAGATAGGGTTTCTCTGTGTAGCCTTGGCTGTCCTGGAACTTGCTCTGTAGACCAGACTGGCTTTAAACTCATAAATATCCACCTGCCACTGCCCACTTTGATAAGATTTTATAAATTTTGCTTATCTTTTCAGAATACTAACTCCCTGCTTTGCTGACTCTCTATT